CATCCTATTGAAAACTGGCTCAAGCTTTCATAAAAAGTCCATGTGCAGGGTTTTGGGAACTACTCTGCACATGTACTCCAGGATCAGGTCATGCCTACTTCCCCAGCCAGCTTTGTCATGCTCTAAGCTCCTGTCTCAAATATGTAACGTTCTTTGCCTCTTTTGATCAGCTTTGGCTTGAAATTCACTTTGAATGCAGGGTAGTTACTCCTGCTTGTTATTTAGGTTCTCATCTCATGAAATATTGCTTTCTTTCCTTTGATTTTTAATCTATGAATTTTTGCTTTGTGTTAAATGTGTTTTGTATATAGAATATCATTAGACTTTGTTTCTTGGTCCATTCTGCTAATTTGTGTCTTTTGATTGGTCAATTGAGTCTACTTGCATGGATAGCTATAATTGATAGTTATTGAGTTAATCTTGCCATTGCACTAATTTTTTATTGCAGTTTTTCTTTCTTTCCCTTCTATTTAATTGTTGGCCCTACCTGATATATTCATTTTTTGGAACTTTTGGCATTGTTGCCTTCATTTTCTCCTTCTAGGATATCCTTGAGAATATTTTGGAGTGTTGCTTACCTGGTCATGAATTTCTCTAGGTTTTGTTTACAATGCAAGTATCTTATTTTCCCATCAATTTTGAAAGATATTTTCACAGGATATTACAGTCTGAGTTGGAAGTTTTCTTTAAGAGCTTCAAACACTCCATTGTATACTCTACTTGCCTTTAAGGTTTGTGTTGAGAAATCTGCTGTAATTCTGGTGGGTTTTCCTCTATTTATAGGTGATTCATTGCTTTTCTGTAGTGGCTTTAAGATTTTGTTCTTATGTTGTATTTCTGGAATTTTAACTATTAGGTTCAGTGTTTTTGGTTTTTGTTTTGTTTTCCCTCATCATGCCCATTCAGGGTTCTGTATGTTTCACTTATATGTATGGTAAATTCTTTTTTAATGTCTGGAAAGTTTTCCGCTATTACTTGTGTAAACAGGCTTTGTAATGTCCTTTGTGCTATCTTCTGATTTTTCACTAATTTGAATTACTCTTATGTTTTTCCATGTTGAGTCCTAGAGGTACTATTGGATTCATTTATCATGTTCTTTTGTTTTTAAAGTATCTCTCATTAATTGATAATTAAGCACAGCACTGTCCTCTATACCTGATACTCTCTCTTTACATTGCTCACTTTTGCTACCTATGCTATCATGTTTCTAATCTCCTGGATTTCTGTTTGGACCTTTTTATGGACTCTAAATTTTTTTCTTTGCTGGGTATTCATGTTTTACATCCCTTTCTTTCACTCTGCTATCTATTTACTAGTGTCTTTTCTAGACTAGACTCAGTGACCACAGCACCTGCCGGGCAAGACTGAGGCCCTGAGTTTGATTCCTGGTACAAGAAAAAAAAATGTACAAATCACCTTCTTGAACTATTTTAGCTCTACTGATACCATTTCAGACCTATTAGTCCTGTAGCCTATGATTCTTTTCTTCTCAATATCTTATGAACTGGTTTTGGTGGAGTTGGAAGCATTGGAGGCATTTTGTTGCTTTGTCTTCTCATTTTTCTAGTTTTTTGTTTATTTTTTCTATACTGGGCTTTATAAATTCTTTGGCACAATGCCCCATTCTTTGAGACCAAATTATATGATTGTTTATGATCCTCAGACAACACAGATATTAGCATAGAAAGAAAACCAATTGTCAGTTAGTACTATGTTACCTTCGCTGTAGTAGTAAATTCAGTGACAACAGAAGCATTCAACGTAAACTGGATATTGACAAATCCTAGGAACCATTCATGAATAGCCCTTAATTTTAACAAAGAAGACTGTAATTTTATTTTTTTATTTTTATTTTTTGTACCAGGAATTGAACTCAGGACCTTGCACTGGCCAGGCAGGTGCTTGTGCCACTGAGTTATATCCCCTGCCCTAAAATTTTAGTGAAGAACATTAGGCTACTTTCGTACTGACTTATAGTACTTCATATCTGCTGGATATAAGCAATAGCGCCACAGCTCAAATATATCAGTAGACTAAATGCACTTCTTCTTCAGGATCATGCTTTGGATGTTTACTTCCACCTACCTGGCCTCCTGCAAGAGACTATAGGCCCCATGATCTGATCTCAAGCCTCCCAGGTGATCCCAGATGACACCCATTTATCCATAACCCTTTGCAAGCCTATCTACCACTCGGGTGGTCTTTGTGGTAGAGTATCATTTCAGGCCTAAAATCTTCAATCAGGTCAGGCTGTTGGTTGTCACCTCTGTTTCCCTGTGCTGTGTGGAACCCAGGGACTAGGGGCAGGGCACATGGTTCCATACTAACATCTTTCTTAAGAGCTTTTTGGAGCACTCTTGACTGAGAGTGTTTTCTGTCCATAAGCTGGTTCTTTGGACTCAACAACTCCAACAGAATGCTTACCTCAAATAACTGCATCATCTGCATCTCTCCTTCCTTTATTTTTCACTGCCACCAAGTTTAACCAACTTGTAACATATGGCTAACTCTCTAGGTACACCCATAGAAGCTATGAAATCAAAATAAGCCATTATTGAAAGTAGGTTTTAGAGTGTAATAGATACATGGGAGAGATGCTAACAAACTTTGTGGTGGATTTGTGGACTTTCATCTTCTTTAAGTGTTCATTTATGTGGACTGCTTCCTTTTCTCTGCATCATTAAGATTCTTTAAGTAGGGCAGTCATTTTCCTTTGAGGAGGTACTCCCTTGGACTGGGAGGATTAAAACAGTTGTTAAACCCTTCATTTCATAGCCAAAATCTGGAAAAATGCAGCAATCTACAGGAAGTAGTTAAATACTGACTGCTGATATAGTAACATTTTGGGCAAACATCAAATTGTGATGTGTCAATCTAAAAAGAGCATCTAAATCTAGGGTGTCCAGCTATCTGAGTTTGCTTACAAGGGAAATGGTTTTGAGGAAGTAGGTTTCCTAGTGTTGAAACTGCAAAATTGGTGGGGAAACTGAGATGAAACTTGGTCACCTTCCCAGCTCCTTAATAGACCCACTTGTTACTTTAGTTGAATTTCTTTCTTTCATTCTAGCCTTCCTTTTTCCCTTAAGCAAAAGCCCTGAAGTTTTAAGTGCTGGGAATTAATTAAAATTTAAAAATATTTGTGGATCAAACACAATTCAGATTTGACTCATAGCCTCCAAGTTTGTGATTCATCATCTAAGACATTAGAATGTGGGCTGGGGTGGTGGGGGTGTCAAGCAGATATTACCTGTGCTTCCTTTCTTAGTCTGGGTCTTAAATCAGAGCAAAAATGAGTAATTATGGGTTATGCACATATTCTACCTTATACATATCAATGGTTACATATAAGTTTTAGGAATAAAAACCCAAGTTAGTTATAAAATGCATCATTGTAGACATTTTTTCTTACTTTATTGTGTATACCCTCCTTGGGAATCCACCAGTGGTGTCTTTAAGGAATAGGATTCACAAGCCCGGCTCATGACCAAATTCTTAAAAGCTAATACTCTAATTATAACATTTTGCATGTTCTGCTGACCTTTTCTGTTGAGTTCAGTGTCCTTTTCATTGTACCTTCCAGAGTTTACTTATTTTATCATCGAAAGCACATTTTTACACCTTGAGCTTCTTCACAAATCACCCCTTGTGCTAGCTTGTTATAAATAACTATACAATAAACAAATATTTGGAATAGTGCCTAGATTATAATGTGTTAATAAGTGCTACTATCATCATCATAATGATTAATTAACTGAAACTTGGCTCTGCTTGGAGAACAGAACTGTCTTTGCAGTCTTTTCAGTGTAAGAGTTTGCTCTTCTCCCTAATGACTTAGCTCTCAAGATACGGCAAAGATTGGATTCTTTCAACCACCCATGGGGGTCAGTGGAGCAGTATTTGCATGTTCTTCTCCGGAAATGCATCCTGTTTTGAAATTCATGCCATCAACTTCGTTTCCTTTTCTTTCTTCTCAGCATCACCACAATCATGATGTCACTGAGGACACTGGATCTGCCTCCGTGTTCTCCTGCACCCTGATTTCTGTCACAATCCTAGTGCTCACCGTGAGAGCTAGTCACCCGTGACAGCTTCCTGCTTCCTTCATCTCCTGTTTTACTGTGTGTCTTCTATTCACATCACTAGCAAACTGTGAAACCCTAAGCTTCGGTATCCTACGCTCAGATCATAAGCTCCTTTCAAAAATCTTTTTCCAGACTCTATAGCCTTTTCCACTCCAATGATGCCTGCTTTCCCACTGTTATCCTTCAAGAAAGAAACTGAAGCTACCATGTGAAAAGAGCCTTCCCTTCCCTCGTCTGAACCTTGAAACTTAGGTGTCTTTCTCCAAGACCATTTGGCTCAAAGGAAAGGAAGTCTTCGCTTCACTTGCTCAGGGTTAGCTCTGCCACTTGTATTATTAGTGTATTTTCCTCCTGGAGATGTTCAGATCTTTCCTCACAGTAACCAATGTCCTTTATTTCCTCATACATGGCTGCAGCAGAAGTTACAACTTCTATATGAAGACTTAAATTTATATCTGTATACCTGAGTTGTCTCCTGAATTCTGTAATCATAACATGCAGTTCTCTTGGGAACTGGTCTGAGTACCCTAGAGTGCTGAAAAGAAAACACATATACAGATGATCTTGTCTTTCTAGCCTTTTATACTCCTTGCAATTCTTATGAGAATTCATTCTCTTGCTACACAGCAATGGGAAAATCTTGCTAGGATCTTTTGTCCTTATTCTCTAAATGTAATTAGTACTGTTTTGGTTTGTATCCTCTAAGAAACAGACATTGACACAGTTAGCATGAGAGTGCAAGAGGATATTGAGGGGAAAACAGGAAAGATAAAGTGGTGGGAATGGAATTAGGAATAGCTAGGAGCTTTGGGCTGCAATGCAAATATAGCATGTAGAGGAGAAAGTATCCTGTTTGGGCTGCTGTAGCTGCATACGTAGTCTAGCTGTCTGTGTGTATAACAAATATTTATTTCTCACAGTTCCAGAGGCTGGGCAATCTCATGTCAAGGCACCACAGGTTGGTTCTTTTTGGATCCTGGATGGATGACCATCTTCTTGTTTTGTTCACCCTGCTAAAGGAGCAATGGATCTTCCTAGGGTCCCTTTGGTAAGAGCAAAAATTCCATTAATAAAAGTTCCATCCTTGTAACCTAACACTACAAAGTCCCAGCTGCAGACGTTATGAAGGGAGGATGAGATATATACATGTAAATAAGAGGAGACTCTAAAATTCCATCTAAGGCAGTGAGGGAGGAAGGAAGACTGTATAGGAGGACAGGAGTGTTTCAAACGGCAGTGGGGAGTTGCAGGCCAAAGCATAGCTGTAGGAGTCCTGTGTCCCACTCTTCTCACACTCGCTTGTTAGCCTGGACCAGGAAATGGGAAGCATGGCCCTGTCATGAATGAAGTGATGGAATTACAGAAAAGGAAACTAGGGCCACCGGTCAATTATATTACACACCTCAGGAGGCTGGGAAGATGTACTTGATGGTTACATCTCCGAAATCTATTCATTTAACCCCCGTAATGTAACAACTGGAACTTTCTAGTCCATTTCCCTAGGCATGGCCTCCTCATCATTTTTCTGGAGCACTGTTCTTCCCACCACTGGTCTTGTTTGCCTTCCTCTCCAGTTCATTCTCCAAGCAACAGTCCAAATGCTCCTTTTCATATGCAAATCCAATGTGCGAACTCCCCAGCAACCGGATTCCAATCTTGCCGGACAATCAGGGATAAAAGCCAAGTTTCTTAGCATGGCAACAAGGACTCGCCAAATATTCTACTGGGTCTGGCTGGCTGCTTCTCTCGGGACTTCCTCCTCCTCTCCCCACATGTGCAATGTACTCCAGTAATTTAACTTATTATCTTTTTAAATACAGCTTCCTAAATCTCAGCCCTCATCCTTTTCAGTTTCATCTGCTTGGAGAGTCCACACTATCGACCACTTCCTTCTGCCCCATAGCCAGAATATTAACTGCTACATGGCTAATGGTCAATACATTTCTCTAAATCAATGGTTCTCATCTTGGCTATGCAGGGACTGGGAGCTTTAAGACAAAACATTACTGATACTTGGGTCCTAGGCCCAGAGATTCTGATTTAATTAGTCTGGGATGTGGCTGGTTATTAAGAATGTAAGAGCTCTTAAGGGAATTCTACTGCGTAGCCACAGAAGAATTGAGAAGCTCTGCTTTATAGAAGTTTTCTCTCAGGATTATTAAATTCCTAGCATGACTTTGGAGCTCCTTCTCTGAGCAGTATTTGAATATTCTCCTCATATGTTCATATATGATCATGTGGCCTGGCACAAATTTGCCTTACCTTACTGAGTGTAAGAAAAATTGCTAGTTAGTATTAGGAGAATAATCTCACTGTTCCCACCCCAGATTTGGGTAAGTACCTCTGAGAACTGATAGAATTCAAACTGAAAAAAATTGCACACAAGAATTTGAGAAAAAATACCCATAGACTTGAATCACTCATGTTTGTCCCCCAAATATCCACTGGCCCATTCTAAGCCCAATGAGCGCTTGGAGGAGGAGTGGTTTCATTCTTTTTTTTTGTTTGTTTTGTTTTTTTCTCCGGTACCGGGAACCGAACTCACGACCTTGCACTTGCCAGGCAGGTGCTTTTGCCGCTGAGCTAAATCCCCAGCCCCTGATTCTTTACACACGTACAAACTCCAAGGTCAGGGCTTCTCATGCTGCATGGCCTCATGAGAACATACTAGGATCTCCTTGTGCTACTGCACGAAGAATTGTGCACACAAGCGCCAGGCTCTTGTGTATGACCAGCAATGAATTGCAAGTGCATACCTAATGGCAAGTGAGAAGCAGTTATAATTACTGATGATCACAGGAAGTTGTACTTAGGGCAAGGCCATGCCAGCAAAAATAAGGCACAAACAGAAAAGTGGTGCCGGGATGACAGGAAAGTAAAAAGTGCTGTGCGCAGATAAATCAGGGTTTCAGAATTTAAAGGCTATGCATCCCTACCCCAGGCGCCTCCCACTGAGTCTTCAGGTAAGATTAACAGGAATGATTGACAAGGTGCTGAGTTATCTCAGGGGCTTTCAATCTACATGCCTGTTCCAGAATTCACTCTGACCGTAATTAAATGTATGAGATGTAGTGCATATTTATGATCCTTTATAAGGGTCAGGTAGGTAAAGGTGAGTGAAAGTCAGGCCGGGAGATCCAAGCGCCTGTGGTGTATGTGCTCTTGCCTAGAGCTTCAAAGATTTCTTGCATTTTTGTTCTGTTATTTTCTACCTCTCTTAGGACAATGGAAAGAAGAGTGACACCAGAATGCTGTCCAAACTCACATGAGCGGATGAGTGATTTCTTCAGCTCCACTGGCCTAAGTGCACAATTTGTGCTGTGGGTAGTAACTCGCATTTTCGTCTTTGACAGCAACAAAATCCTGGGTGGTGATGTTTTCTACCTATCTCTAAACTTGCCCGTTGGAGCTCTGGCTCACAAAAGCTGGTGTATATTCACCAAACTGAAAGACTTGCGCTGTTTTATTCTTGAAGTAGGGAAGGAAAAATTACTTTTCAGTTTTTCAGGAATGAGCAACCAGAAATTGATATTGCGGTACATTGCACTACCATGCTATCATGTTATGAGCTTTACTGCTTCTCCACTTCCCCACCAAACTCAGGAATATGAGGCAAGGGAATGTGTATTTTTATGCTCTATGTCCTTGCTATACCAATCCCGGTGACAGCCATGCAGTAGGACTTATAAATTCTTCTTTGCTGTCCCTTGTTTTCCACTTGGACTTTTTCATATGGTTAACCAATTTTTATTCCCTTTATACTTCTAAATAAATTTTACTTCTAAATAAATTCCCTTTATACTTCTGAATCAATTAACTTACCATACTCAAAAGAAATTGGACATGTCTATAAATCCTGTCAGAAAATACTAAGCAGAGTAGCTATAAAATAGCTACAATGAAATAAAAGAGCTGAACACCAAGTCACTGAATTTATATGGGAATAATTGGGCAGAGAAGAAGATTGAAAGTTAAACACAATTTCTCTACTCTTTCTCTGCTGTATTTTTTACATTAAAAGTTTTTTTTCTAATGAGAAGAATCTACATTCTTTTTTTTTCTTTTCTTTTTTTTATTTTAAAGAATAAAAGAAGGATAACATAATAATAGGGGGGACTTAGCAAATTACAGACAAAATGGTAGGAAATTATCAATGGTTATCGTTTTACATATTATTATCTACAACATAGTTTCTCAGGAAAACAAATAGACAAATAATAGTGAGTTAGAGACAAAAGAGGTGGGAGATTATCAAGAGTTGTTGTACTATACTTTGGTATCTTCAAAGAGGCTTCTAAAGAAAACAAATAGAGCTATACATGAGTGACCTATTGAAAAATCATTAACTATTCTCAATGTACATTCTTTTCTCTATAGTCTTTTCACTATTAAAAAAATACATATCTATATCTGTATTGCTATATATCTTTGCTTTTATATTTGTCTTCAGAAACCAGAAGAAAAATTGCATAAGAATGACTATTCTTTTATTTATCTATTTTACTATTATTCATTCAGGGCCTAGGACAGTGCATAGGAAACAGTACATATTTAATGTCTGCTGAAGAGTCATATTCTTTGTGGTGTGAGATATTCATTTGTATAATGGTACATGTAGAAATTAATCACTTGCATGGAAATCAGAATTCTGAATACTGATTTTTTTAAAAGAAGTTACTTATATATGATAAACAGAATAAATCAAATGACTCATTTTTATTTTCAGAAAATTGCTTAAAATACTGATCTGCAGTATTATGATTTTAAAACACAAGTAACAAATTTAGAGTTTTAAATTAGTAGCTCACACACACCAAGGTGCTCACTTACATGTGCACATCTATAACGACACTAAAATTAGATGTAACTAAAATATTAATTTTATGTGAACATCATTGGTTAACCAAGGTCATACCTTTAAGACTAAAAATCTGAGGTTACACATCAAAGCTATGAAGAAGTGAAACCAATTAGTCTTTATTTTGGGCTAAGGACACCTAAAGCAACATGAGTTTTTTGAATAGCTGGTGAGAATATATACTGGTGAATTCGAGTAGTTTCTGTGGTCTCATTGCCTATGTCTTAACTCTACATTTAGTAATAAAATTCTCCAAAGGGAGAAAACCACAGGGCCTTGTGGCTTCACTGTTGCATTCTACCAAAACATTTATAGAAGAACTAAGACCAATACTTCCTGAACTATTCTCAAAAAATTAAAGAGGAGGGAATATTTACAAACTTACTTTATGAGGCCAGCTTTACTGTAATACCAAGCCAGACAAAGACACAAGAAAACAAAATTACAAGTCATGTCCATAATAAACAGAGATATAAATCCTTAACAAGCTTTAACAAACCAAACTCAAGAGCACGTTAAAAGGATCATTCACTATGATCAAGTGAGATTTAGCTCAAGAGATACAGGGATTGTTCAAAATATGAAACTGCAAATGTGCTGCATATGTGATACATTATAATCAAAGAATGAAGGATAAAAACCATATGATCATCTAGAAACAAACAAACTTACATATAAATTTCTGGATTAATTTTATCTTTCTGGATTAATTTTCTAAATAGTTTGTGCATTTACTTTTGGAAAAACATCATGTACACAAGACAACCAAAAGCTACTAAAATGTATACATTCAAGATATGAGGATCTTTAGCAGCCTGTCTCCCTGAAGCCTCAGGCACAAGCCCACAAGCAGAGAAGAACCTGCGTCCTGGCACGTAGGGACTAGAACAAGAGATCTCAGAGCGGAGAAGGGAGAGCCCCAGTGCACTTCAAGCCCCACATTAACAACTTCAGTCTTGACGTGTGCTTGGGAGGTTGGGGAGAGCTTTAAGTGGGTTTATGTACTACTGAGGAAAAAGTAAAAATAACTGGAAGAATATCAACAACCAAAAACAGGATGAGATGCAACTTTCAGACAGAGTAAGAGAGTCAGTCATTTTTACAGTAATTAATAATACATGGGGATAATTTTTCAATAATAAAGGGAAACAATTTTAAAAACATACAGACAGAAAAAGTAAACTA